ACAACTAGACTGAAGAACAAAAGGACAGCAACTTGTCTGTTCCCCTTCCCCGATTCCCTAACGCTGTTCCCCTCCCCAATTCCCCACTAAAATCTTTAGAAAAAAAAAGTCATTGGTGAGTATGTTTGTGTGCTATGCCCCCAAATACTGTCCAGTCTGCAAACCGTTTTTGGTCCATGAAGAGATATGGAAGTTAGGCCAGGATGCAAAACAATGATGTGTCTAAGCACACTGCTTATTGTATGGTGTCTTCTCATAGAGAAGCTAACAGTGCCTGATACATCCTTGTATAGGCTCCTCATATCATCACAGACCAGTACCAAGGAGTTTGTGCAGTGGTTTTCGTTCTCATTTTAAATAGCATGCTTGTTTAGGATATGAATTTTGTTTTCCTTTCTACACTGCAACAAACATATACTACAAGAGAAATAAACAGTAAAATAAAAATATTAAACATACACAATATGCATAGATACTAAAAGATACTTATTCAAGTCAGATTGATATCGTTGAGAATCCTGAGAGAAGGAAACACTGGCATCTGTGAAGAGCTAAACTGAGAGTGATAATGTATCATCCCAATTGTCCTCATTTTTGAGAGTGAGGGAGGTGCTGGTAATTATTATGACAGGATACCTGACGTTCCCAGACAAATTGGAACATACAGTCAGTCACCCTAGCTAAACCTTCAAACAAAGGCTGAAGAAGATGAGTAGATGTTAATGCAAAGTAATGTTTACATGACACCAGTAAGACCTGCAATCCTGGCGGGGGAAGAGCTGAATCTTGGCTACAGCTCACTGCGTTCTATGCATATATGCAGCCTCATCCGTGGGCGGTTTGTGATTTGGATGGGGGAACTTTGGGTATGTTTCTGCAAGTTGTTACAGGTATTCTTTGATGTCTTGCTGCACTAGATATCCCACACAGTGTCGCTGCTCTATGGTTGGCTCAAGGGTCACCTCTGTGGGTGGGGTCGGGGAGTGGATCCCAATATCTTTGCCTCAATTTTTTAAAAATAATCTTTTTGAGACTAACGGCTGTCTTCTGTGGAACATGCTAGGTCTTTCATAAGAATAGATTCACTCTCCCTGCTGAGAATCAGGAGCTTGATATGGATGGGTGGGGAAGAGCCTGATCACAGATGGCTTAGCTGTGTCTTTGGACAGGGCACCTTTTCAGTTACTAGGTGAATGTGATGGAATATTTGGGGGCAATAGATGTGGCTTCCTGGAAGTACCCTGGATTGAGAGAACAGTTGTTTCTATCTCTGCTGCTTCAGGCTGAGTAAAGGCAAGATGGAACAACTCAGGTTGGTGTAGTAAAACTTTTTGTAGAAGGTCTTTAGGCAGAAGTTGGTAAATGGTCTTTTTCTGGACGGGGAGTAGGAAAAAGAGGAGCGAAGGTGAGGCGAACACTTTTAGGACTGCTGTGAGGAATAAATGTGATGTACAGGAGAGGACCTAGTACATTCAGCCAGGGTGAATGTAAGACCAAATACTTTTTGATCATCACCTAGCACATACATAAAGAGTTAAAAACAGAACAAAATCACAAATATTCTCATTCTCCATGAGGAAGACAATATTTCTTGAACATGCCAGGTATTGAGTCATTGATATATTTTATCATTTACTCTTCATAGGAATCACGAGGTCTTTCTAACTCCACAATCTGTCACCATCTTCCTTTAAAATACAATATAAAAAGCCTGCTTTGCTATCTTACCATTGCTGAGAGAATCTGCGCTCCCAGGACTGTGCTGCCTGGAGACCAACTCGCCCCCTGTTTTCCTCATCTCTGTGTTTTCGTTATATCGTCTTTTCCAGTAGTTGAGTTCTTCACGATCAGATTCCTGACAGCGCCGCAGGACTGCCATGGAGCGCCTTGTTTTTTCTACCATTTCCATAATGCAGTTCAGGGCCTGAGCCAGAGGGGAAGTTAGGCAGAGACGAGATGAGGACATTCAAACAACCAACATTGCAAATCAAGGACAGGTAAACAAAACATAAAGAATGAAGGTTTAAGTAATTTACAGGTTTAGCAATATTAACTTTATATTTTGAAGCCTTTCTTTCTGCTTCTTTTAACACACACACGCATGCACACACTCACTCACTTTATTTTTGTTTGGGTTTCGAAATAACACTTCAAGGTTGAAGGACCTAGAGTCTCATTACAATATGGTCCTTTAAAGATTATGGTGAAACCACATTAAATATATGACTAAACCCATAAGGCATCTGATAAAGCTGGCAATTTATTAAGAATGTAATCAGAGAAATACCACTCAGACAATATCACTCAAGATGGAAATGCCACTGTATGTATTTCAAGCAAGTACTACGTCCCTTTTTAGTGAGAGGGAAAATGCTGTCTTCTGATAGGACAGGAAACTAGGGCTTACATTCTATCCTTGTATAATAATTCTCATTTGTATCCGGAGGAGCTCCATTTATTTAACACTTCCTATATACCAGGACCTGTGATAAGCACCTTACATATTATTACAACCCTCCTGTGAATTCAAATAATACAGCATTCTTGTTTGTTTAAGTCATAGCTGACATACAATGTTACATGAGTTTCAGGCATACAACACAATTATTTGACATTTATATACCTTACAAAGTGATAAACACGAGAAGCCTAGTACCCCTCTGTCACCATACAAAGTTACTGCGATATTAACTGTATTTGGTTTTTTTTGTTTTGTTTCTTAGCTGAGCCATCCTGCCACCTGTTGGCAGCTCAGTAGCTGCTCAGCTCGGGCTGGGACTCGAACTGCTGTTGCTCAGAGCTCAAACTCTTGAGCGAGCTCTTAACCAACTGAGCCACTCGGCCAGCCCTTAACTGTATTCCCTATGTTGTACATTACATTCCCGTGACTTATGTTAACTACAGCTTTGTACCTCTTAACCCCTTCCACCTTTTTTGACCATCTCCCCACCGCTCAACCCTCTGGCAACTATCAGTTTGTTCTCTGTATCTATGTGGCTCAACATTTATATGCCTTCCAGAGGAATCACCATAAATATAGAAACGCTTTGACACCGTGCAAGGTTATTACAATATTACTGACTATATTCCCTATGCTGTACATTACATTCCCATGACATGTATTTTATAATTGGAAGTTTGTACTTCTTAATCCCCTTCACCTTTTTCACTCACCCCCCCCCCTTTCCCCCTCCTCCCCTCTGGCAACCATCAGTTTGTTCTCTGTATCTATGAGTCTGTTCCTGTTTTATATTGTTTGTGCGTTTGTTTTGTTTTTTAGATTCCACATGAGTGAAATCATATGGTATTTGTCTTTGTCTGACTTACTTCACTTAGCATAATACCCCCTAGGCCCATCCCTGTTGTCGCAAATGGCAAGGCTGCATTCTATTTTATGGCTGAGCTAAAAAAAAAAAAAAGAAAAGGAATGGAATTTTTTTAAGATATAAAAAGGCTAAAAATGGTAAAGCAACTTACCTATCTATCACACAAGGGTAGGAAGTGGCAAAACTGGGACCTCACAAACCTATGTTTTGAACCATTGTACTGTACATGACTTTACTTGGTTATGACCTGAAGTAGTCACCCCACCACAAAGATTTGGGAATTACTCTTGATTCTCTAGCTGGGCGAGTAGAGATAAATCAGCTTTTACTGCAAAGGCATTGTTGCCCTGGTTACGTTCACATTAAGCACACACACTCTATTACTATTGGTAAATAATACTAAGAATTACAAGTAATAAATAGTTAAAAAAATTATACACTATACGATTCTTACATGATCAAGATGTTTCCATTCATCAGCCCATTCCCTTTCTGTCAAACGGTGGTCTACCAACTCATCTTGATAGCCTCCATTTAGACCTATTAGAAATGAAGAGATTAAATTTGAAGACAGAGGGAAGAATACAGTAAACAAAACTATCAAGTAAACACACACACACGATTCATGCCAGCTATGTGCACACTACTAAGGCAATGATTCACATCGGCGTGTGGGACCCACAAAATGACATAAAACCACCACCAACAAAAAAATCACTCTTGAGATTACATAAAACACTCCTATAAATCAATTATGAAAGACAAATAGCCCCAAAGAAGAACAGGCTTATGTCACTTACTAAGGTTGTGGTGTCTATCACGAACTTCTCGATGTTCTAGCATCTTGTTGGGCTCACGATACAGGTGGGAAGTTGCAATATCTTCTAAGGTATAATGCTGAAGAGGCGGGGGTGTCGGATGGAACTGACCCCCAGGATTCATAAGGGGCACATTGAGGGCAGGGCTGTGCCGGGGAGCAGGGCTGATTGTACACACTCTCTTGGCAGGAGGCTCAGGAGGAATTGTGTCTCTTTCAAAACTGCTCTCTTCCCTCCTGTAGAAGAACAGGGAGTACATATCTGAGCCCGTCAACAGGTGTTCTGCAAACATGTCCTTGAGCACCTAGTTTGTGCTGGGTATTGTGCTATGCACTTTCACAAACAGAAGACGTTAAGGAAAGGCTGGACATGAGGCATGAACTGAAATGTCTTCAGGGGCCAGCAAGATAATGGAAATTGCTATTTATTCTAGGATGAAAAGAGAGATCAAATTCATCCATTATCAGGCAGGAACATCTAAACTTCATGAAGCAAACAAGAGACTAAGGGGAGGATGGAATTATCTTATGTAATACGAATATGGAGGAAATGGGTTCAACCGTGTTTAAGAATGTTTTGAGGTCAAATTTGCTACAGTGGGGGTTGGTTATTGGAAACAATTCTCCACATGGGAGAAAAAAACGCTCAATAATAAATATAAATTGGTAGGGTTTTTAATCAGTTAGCTTTAATTTTAACAAATTTTCCACTGTTGTTAAAATATTGCTTCCTTGACCAACCATAGATACTGTGGTAGACACCAATACTGAAATTTCCAAAATAATATAATTTCAATCTTCAAAGTAATTGTGATTCATTAACAAGTATCAATAACTAATTGTTGTACTTTTTCTATACTTCACACATCAGGAAAAATGCCTCGGGAAGATTGTGTTTTTTTAAATTCTGGGGCATTGGACTCATAGACTGCTCTACAGCAGTTTCTCACCATTTGAAGAGTTTCTGAAAAATACTCATGTCTGAGAGTTACACCTATAGATTTGAGAAACATTCTGCTGCTTCATGTTGGGACAAAGCAAAACTAACCTTAGAAATTTTAAGTCCATACCCATGTAGAACCACAGCAATCAAATTCTCTCTTTCACAAGCAAAGGGAAAGCTCAGAGTGGTTCCAGAAAAGCAAGGACAACCAAGCTCTTCTCTGCTCACCTCTCTGGACTGGGCCTCTTTCCATTCCCATGCACTTCCATGAGCAGCTCAGAAGAGTCTGCAGGTGACGCAATACTTGTGTTGAGCAGGAGGTGTTCGTGCTGAGCCAGGTACTGGGATGGGGTCTGCTTGGCGGCCCGCGCACAGTGCAGCAGTTCTCGCTGGAGCAGGGGCAGGTTGGCCTTGAAAAGAAGAGGCAGGGGCTGGAAGGCAGCTGTCCAGGTGTCAGGCCCTACACCCTAAGGCTCAGCACCTCAAAAGGCTTTCACAAGGAAGACGACACAAGACCAAAACCCTTCTCTCCTTGTTAGTCTGATTTTCATATGCCTCTGTGAGTAGGGTGACATGAACGTGAATGATTGGTTGACATTTCTTGCCTTTGCAATATGTTAAATCCCCTTAAGGAAGAGACTGTGCTTTATTTACCTCTGTGGCCTAATACAGAGTCAAGCAAAGATCAATAAATATTGAACCTAATAATTTTAAAAGGTATACATTTTTGAAGACTGTGGTCAGTTAGAGAATTAGAACTGCCCACATGGGAGTAAGAGGAATCCACTCTTTCCTCTGTCATTACAAGGCCTGGCTTCTGTCTTCTGAATCCCAACCCATCTCTGGTAGCCCTACTCAACCTTTCCTTCATGGTCTCTGAGAACTGCCATGGAATTCTGGAAACGGTGATTAGTCTGGCTTTGTTGGAACATGAGGTCTTGAAGTATTGGGAGTGACTGGTGAAGCCTTAGGCTAAGCTCTGAGGGTACAAAGGCAACCCACGGGCAGAATCTATTTCTTAGTGTGGCATCCCCATTGGGCATGTTTCCTTATTCTGTAAAAGGATAATTACGTACTGATCATTTTCATTCTCCTCAAACGGAGAAAACCTTTAACATGGACATACCATATAAAAAAACCCTATTCTCTTGAAACTGAATTCTCCTTCACATATAAATGTGCTTTTCCCATATTCCTTTTATTAAAAAATAATTATATTTTTCTCTCCAAATTTAAAAACAATTCAGACCAAGCCCATAAGAGAAGTCTTTATTCCAAGAGAAACAGATTAGCAAGGGAAAGGAAAGTTTTAATACATGCACGTAGCCATCCCTTTACCAAGGGTTAATTTAGCAGGCACCATAATTAGTGACTGCTTTAAAGTAGAAATAAATTGACAAAAACCCAAATGCTAGCCAACAAGCTGCCATAACAACCTACACCTCATGCTGTTTTCCAAAATAACAGAGTTAAGAATAGGGAATTTGATGATATAAAACACTTTTCAAGTTTCTTCTATAACCTCAATCTCATAGCAATTGTAAAAACTTAATTGAAAAAATACCATGTCGGATCTTTACATCTGTAACATGTGTGTACCCTTTAATGAGTTAAAAAAAAAAAAAAGCTTATTTTTTTCTAGTAACACAGATTTCATAAATCTTCTTGATTCCGGAGTCTTGGGGAAAACCATTGTCCACCGGCTCTGACATACAGAAACCAGACAGAGACAGACCGAGCACAGCTGTTTTGGGGCTGAGCAAGCGCCACAGGCTGATGGGACAGGCCGAGGCGTCAGTGCCGTCGGAGCCGCAGCACAGGCCGAGCACCTGAGCCCCGCATTTTCCTGCAGGCCTGCTATGCTTCACTTTCAAAAGTTTAAAAACTGGTATCAGTGCTTCAGTAAGATGACACATCTTCTTGATGCTATTATATTTTATTAGGAAATGAAGGTAAAGCAAAAGAAGATAAGAGGGGCAGGTTTATTGGCCAGATATTTAGGCTTTGTGAGGCAAAACTGAAGGTACGATATTATATGGGTACTCAGATATAAGTGAGGGAATAAATTTCCAAACACTGTATTGACAAAAGTCAAAATACAAAAAAAATTAAATACAGTTTTTTGGTACTATCAGTCTACTACTAATGAAAAGAATAGAATTAATTTGGAAAGGGCATGGATTAAGGATAACGTTTAGCTTAACTGGGGTTCAAAGTTAGGTTCCCTATTACCAAATCAATTATAAATGTTCATTTGTAAAAAAGCCATTCTCTCCAGGGCTGTACAAAGCTATGTGGTAGGCTGCGTACGGGTCAGAGGCTCCCTAACTAAGCCTGGCCTAGAGCACGCTGGCGTTTCACTGCCTTTAAGCTATTTTATAACTCTGCAAGTTGTCAATAACTGATAGCAATGCAAAATCATTGTTGTCTATGGACATGCATAAAACTATGTCCAATAGAGGTTCAACTGACTTCCCTTGCACACTGTAGGAGAAGCCAATTTTACTCCTGTTTGCCCATTCGTATCAATAATCCTGATCTATAAATGAGCCTGAATGGGTTTTAACACCTTATGGATTCCCTCATTAATAGTGAGTTAAATAAAATCTTTGACATGGATTCATTTTTTTATCTGTATGAGTTATAATGATACCTGGTTTTGAAAATTATTGTTTAATAGGAAAAGCAATTCACAGTAGGAAAGCACAGCAAACATGGCCTTCACCACGTGATCAAAATCAACATCACCTATTATGAGACAAATGAACATCTACGTCTCCTGCAGCACACAGTGATATCTTCCCTGCTACATTTACTACCTAAAAAGCATAATCTGATTCTAATCATGAGGAAGTATCAGAAAAACCCAAATTGAGATATATTCTATAAAATAACAATTTCGTTCATACTCTTCAAAAATGCCAAGATCATAAAAGGCTGAGAAGTTATTCCGATTAAAGCAGACTGAAAAGACATAACAATGAAATGCAAAATGCTGTCCTAAAGTAGATTCAGGACCAAAAAAAGTTTTTCTTTTGCTGTAAAGGACATTTGGTGGAACATGAATAAGGTCTATAATAATAGTGTTTTATCAATCTTAATTTCTTGATTTGATAATTATACTAAAGTAATTCGATTTATCTATCATGCCTGCAGCTTACCCTCAAACAATTGAGGGAAAAAGAAATAGAAAGACAGAGAATAATAATAATGCAGATGTGATAAAATATTAACATTTGGAGAATCTAAGTAAAGGGTACAGGCATTGTCATGTACCATGTTGCAACTTCTCTGTGAGCATGAAATCATTTCAAAATAGAATGTTCTTTGGTAAAGGGCATATTACATATAAATCTAACACTGTCTTAACTTATCAGGTAAGCACAACAAATTTGAACAGTGTCCCCAGAAGTTATATTTCAGGGAAATTCCAGAAGCCATAATTAAAAGCTACATTAAACTGGGGGTTGGGAAGACAAAACCCCCGCCTTCCCACATGCTCTTCTGTCTTTAAGGTAAGAGTCTGACCTACAAAGACCTCTTTTTTGTCTGGCAGACAAAAAAGATTTAATATCCAGTTACTTCTGCTAGGAGCCCAGCCTCCATGCCACCCTGACACCTCTGTCGGACTCACCTCCTGCTCCCATCCATCCTCTACCTGCATCTGTGTGTTACCAGCAGAGTCTGCATACAGACCACAACTGAAGGCTTTTGCAATTCTCATCGCATCAAATATGTATCATCTCATCAACTATAAGACTCTTCTGTAGACTGCACTCAACATTTCTCCAGCAGCCCAAAACAAAGATTACAAAAATGTATAAACCGCCATGATTCAGATCATGGAACAGGGATCAGTAGCAAATCTTGAGGAAATATGGAAGATAAACAATTACCTCCAGTAATTATCTCATAAAAATTACCTTGAGGAATGGAATCACAAAAGGACGAAGAGGAAAGTTTGTAGCCTCTTGGAGTTTGCAATGGAATTCTTCAATTGTTACTGTTGAGTTCTGAAAAGATAAATAACTTTGTTCAACTTCTAAAACTAAACACTGTCCTAACATAAATTTGATAGTGGTCAGCCCTTTTAAATCATAAGCAAATGGGTAATTCCAAGGGCACTACTGTGAACTCAGATCCCTCTCAAAGGTTAACCAAATTCTGTTTCCTGTAGAAAAGAAATTCGGCCTCCTTGATTTTCTTTGCTCTACTACCCCAAATCTAAGTTCTCCTTTATGCTCAGCATCCTGGGGTACAGAATAGGGCACTACCTTCCTCACTACCCATGAAGAGAGGCACTCGGGTTTCTTGTACTGAGGGGTTTTCATTGCAAGTCACCTCAGGTACAAGAAACCAAGCTTCCAGCATCTCCAGTTGAACAGATCCTGATCAACAACTCAGAACCTCATTTCTTCACAGGTTCTGCCAAAATCCTGGCATCAGTTCCCCAAATCTTCTGAATAGAAAGTTAAGGGAGAAGAAGAACAATAGGTGCATTCTACCTTCCAGTGATCTGTTTGCAAATCAGAGCACCTCCAAATAGACAGATTCCTATCAGTAAGACTTTAGTATTCCCAGGAAAGTTATTAGCACTTCCTCTGTATTTTTTCAAAAGTCTGGCTTAAAATTAGGATTCTCAGCTCCTCTGCTAAGAGGAATGCACAAATAAAAATATTTTCTTCAAAGTTCACAAAATATTTTTATTTCAATTCCCTAAAACACTTTAAAAACAAAAGTTTTTAAAAAAATAAAACTGGGCATTAATCTGAATTCTTATTCATCTGAAAGAACAATTACCACGTCTAGAAATTTATTTTTATAAAATCAGCAAGTGTTCAAAGATGTAAATGTACCATACAAATTATACATAAGCACAATACTGCTTCTTAACAATAAAAAAAAAAGGAAAACATACAGGTCCATCAACAAGAAGCTGCATTAAAAATTACAATAATGTAATACCTCAGAACACTTAAGGGGGAGCAGATTTGTATGAATTAATGAGGAAAGGTTTTATAATATACTGTTAAGTGAAAACTCAGAAACAGTATGCTTTCTAATAATCCATTTAAGAAAATAACAGACACAGTATTTTAATGGTCTGGAAGGACAATTACAACAGCAGTGATTTCTGGATGTGAAATTATGTTGGGTTTCCCAAATACATCATATTAATATTCAGTAAAAGTTAAAATATTTCCCTTAAGGGAAAAAGGCCATATCAAATTTAACCTATTAACTAAAAATGTTTGAACAGTTTACCTCATTTCACACTAAAAAAATTCTTTTAAACTTTTAAGTACATGACATTTGCACAATGCAACCAAAGGTATTGGTAATCAGGAATAAAAATTAAGTGTAAGAGAATGATATTCTTTCCCTACTACAGTGAATGTACTTGGGCCTCCAAAAGTAAACGCAAGTAGAGCACATCTACGGAAAGGCTGCATGAATGATGAAGTTTTCTCGTGGATGGACAAAGGCGGAAAGGGTGCACTGTGTGGCACGGGAAATGGTGACTTAGCCAGTGAAAGTGACTCAGGGTTCTAGATCTACTGTAGATGCAAGACAATGCTCTGTCTGAGAAGGATGATAAGCCACTGTTCTGTTATCCTTCACTCTCACTCTATTATCTAATAAATAAAAGCATAGCTTTTTCCTCCCTAAGCACACATAACATAGCCTAGTGGGAACACAGATAAGTAAGCTATTCATTACAGTATGATTGAGGCACAGGTGTGCAGGACACCACTGGTACAGAGAAGACATGTTTGATTCAGATTTAGGAGGACAAGGAAGGTTTACATAAGTGTATCTGAAGAAGTAAGGCACAGCCTTGGAAACGATGCTTCTGACAAAGAGAAGAACGTAAAAGGGCAAAATGATAGGGGATCTGGATCGCAAAGGCAACGCCTACAGAAGACAATGGGCATAGATAGGTGACCAGACAAAATGTTTATCCCTTTAAAATTTTGAGATAATTATAATCACAGGAAGTTGCAAAAATAGTACAGATAGGTTCCCATCCATCCTGAATCCAGGCTCCCCCAATGGTTATATTTTAGATACCTATAGTGCAATATCAAGACTAGGGAACTAACTACGAGGAACATTGGTAAAATGTGTGTATAGTATAGTTCTATGTCACTTTATCACATGCGTGTATATTCATGTAATCCCTACTGCAATCAAAACACGTAAGTGTAGAAACCTTATCTACCTTTATCCTCCCTGGTTTATAGTATAATTGTCTTTTTCGCCATTCTTTTAGGGTAGGTCTGCTGAAACAAATTTGCTTCGTTTTACTTCATCTGAGAATATTTTGATACTTCCACCCTTCATTCCAGAAGGATATTTTCGATAGATTCTCGGTTGACAGTTCTTTTTTTATTCAGCACTTGAAAAATGTGCCACTTCCTTCCAGCCTCTGTGGTTACTGATGAGAAATCCACTGTCACTGGAATTTTTCCCTTATAAGCAACGTATTTCTCTCTCGCTGCTTTCAAGGTTCTTTTTCTTTTTGCAGGGGGTGAGGAGTGGGGAGATGGGGGATCTTGTTGGAGGTCTGCTCAGCTTTTCTGAATCTGTAGGTTTATATTTTTTTGTCAGATGTGGGGACATTTCAGCCATTATTTCAGGCCCACACTCTTTTTCTTCTCCTACAGCAAATCAGGTCTTTTATTATACTCCTTCAAGTCCCTGAGGTTCTGTTCATGTTTTTTAAACTATTCTCCCTCTGTCATTCAGATCAGGTGTTTTTTTTCTATTGTTCAAGCTTCAAGTCACTGATTCTTTCCTCTGTCCTCTCCACTCTACTGCTGAATCCATCACCAAGTTTTTATATTTTTTAGTTCTAAAATTTTCATTTAGTTCTTCTATCTTTTATTTCTTTGCAGAGCCTTTTTTTCATTTCTGTTATAATTGTTCATTGAAGCCTTTTTATGATAGCTGCTTTAAAATCCTTGTCAGAAAATTCCAACATGTGTCGACTTGGCTGATGTCTGTTGGTTATCTTTTCTCATTTCAGTTGAGATGGTCCTAGTTATTGGACAAGTGATTCTCTACTGTATCCTGGATATTTTGGGTTCTATGTACTAAGACTCCTTTTAGCTAGAAAGAGGGTTTTTTTTTCTTTTTTTTCTCTCTCTCTCTGTGCTCCTAAGTGTTTCCATGTTACTAGCTTCTCTAGACCACAATCTGGGATATATGATGAAAACACAAAACCCAGGGAACTCACTGCCATGTACTTCCTTGGGTCAATCTGCCTCGTTCTCTCCATCTTTCAGTCTTATTTTTATTTAATATATAAAGTCTAAGGTTTTCTGATCTATTTGTCAGGAGCAATAAGAAATATACCTTTCTGTTGTGCCTCTGAACCAGACTTGGTATTTCATAACCACATCATTTCCATTAAACTGATGTATTGGAACTTATTCAGGCTTTTATAAAACATTTAGCTGGTTTCAAAATTTTTTTGGCATTATAAATAATGTTGAACTGATTTTCTTGGTGTAGATTATTATTTTGTTTGGATGAATTTCAAGGAGAGAAACTGGTGAGTCAAAGGAAGTGACTCGCTTATGGTACCTGGAACATTGCCAAACTACCCTCCAAAAGGTGTATTTTCCAAATAAGTAGGTGGAGTACGAAACATTATCTTTTACCTTGCCATGGAAATCGGCCATGCTTGTACGCTGGTATTGTTAGAGACCACCAGTCTCCTATACACCAGAAACATGGTGAACTCAACTCCAGGGACCTAACTGTGTGGCTTTTTCTGACTTGGCTAAAGTCTCCTCCACCTGGAAAAACTACTCCGCTTGCATATGCCCACCAAAATCTTAACTATTCTTTTCATAAACAGAAGGCTAAATAAGGCTTTCTTGAGTAGTGAAGCATAACAATCTAAAGATGCTCATTTTCCTCCAAATTAGACCAAGTTTTCAATAAGATGGGAGCAGAAACAAAAGAAAAAGAAAAAAAGAACTGAGTGGTAAGTTCAAATGCAAAACACATTAAGACACTCATTTTTATCTATGAATAGTGGCAGTTTTATTTATCTTGTTCCAATCCTTATATCTTATTTGCTAGGCGAGAATGTTTAGGATTACACTGAATAGGAGACATATCCTTATCTGGTTCCTAATGTCAGAGGGAAAGCTTTCAAAATTTCACCATTAAGCATGAGGCTTGCTTCTAGTTGTTTTTGTATAATACATATACTGTATAAAACTGTCATCAGATTAAGGAAGTTCCTGCTATACCTGATTTGCTAGGTGTTTTTCTTTTAAGATAATGAATGGGTGTTAAATTTACAAACAAATTTTTTCTGTGTCTTATTGAAATATATTTAGATTTTCAATACCGATTGTTATAGACTGATGCTTGTGACCCCTCAAAATTTGTAGATTCAAACCTAATCTCCAATGTGTTAGTATTTGGAGGTGGGGCCTTTGGAAGGTGATTGGGTCATTAGGGCAGAGCCCTTATGAATGGCATTAGTGCCCTTATAAAAGAGGTCCCAGAGAGCTCTCCTGTCCCTTCCACCCTGTGAAGATACAATGAGAAGATGGCTATCTATTAACCAGGAAGTGGGCTCTCACCAGACACCAAATGTGCTAGAGCCTTGATCTTGAACTTAACAGCCTCCAGAATTGCGAGAGTTAAGTGTTTGTTGTTTCTAAGTCATCAAGTCTATGGTATTCTAACAGCCCAAACAGACTAAGACACTGATCTTAATGTCTTAAAATCCCAATTAAGTGAGAGTATAAGTTGGTATAACACTTAAGAAAATTATTTGGCCTTATATACTAAATTTATATGCATACTCATGAAATTCCTATTCCCACATGGACCATGTATAAGAATGCTCACAGCAACATTATTTGTAATAGACCCTTTACAGAAAAAGAGTTACCATAGCAGATCTAAAACTGATAACCTTAGAAAAGTCTGCTTGCAAGGCTGGGTCAACGGCTGGCATCTACAAACTTGGCTGATTATC